TTCCTATAATTTCAAAAAAGAAAACCACACCAAGTAATCCTTTTATTGATGCAGAAAAATCAAAACCGTTTTCGATATTGTCTGATCGGCTCAAACAAAATAAAAAAAATCCTGATTATGAGACTTTACCAGAGAAACTGCATCACCTGACCAATTCGCAACACCCTGATCTAATTCAACTCAATCATACTCCTCCTCAAGATTACCCTACTCTATCTAACCTTCACCAGCAAATCTCTGGACAGAAACAACTGCCTAACGATGAAACGCAATCCGTTTATTTTGGAACGACACCAACTGGCCCTACCGCATCGAAAAAGACGACGAAAGATCCTAGCTTTTCGCAAAAAAATGAAAATGGACAGATCACTTATCACATTCACACGCCCAATATTCCAAATACTCCTCAGCAAATCGAGGAACTATTAGCACACATCAATCAGCACGATCCCAATCCTGGACCCTTCCAATACTACTCCAGAAAACCTGCTGTACTTTATAATGTTCCAAACGGCCCGCTGCCAACTGTACCACTTCATATAGATGCTCAAATATCACAGTCAGGACTTACGCACCTGAACCACCCGCTCGCAGCACAAACGTCCAGTCAGTCAGGTTCGTTCCTGATCATCACAAAAAATAATATACAGAATTTTTATTAGCACAGTCTCGGAAAGAAGCTGATATTCCTTGTTGAAAAATAAAATGTTTTCATTTTACCAACATTTATTGATTTCATAAATTTTTTTATAATTTATGAAACCACAATATTATTATGCCTTTGTAACTATAATATGGTTAAAAAAAAAAAACAATTAAAAGCACAAAGAAATAAAGTAATATTAATTTTGTAAGATCTATCTTGTCTCGATTTTAAATGTGTTAACACGATTTTTTGTTAAAAAGTTTATCTAATTGAAAATAAATATAAACTATATCTCTAATTTTTCTAACTCTTGTTGAAATGTCATATATATTCGTATGCATTGTCACCGACTTTAAAAAGAATCGGATTTATATAATTGCAATTTATTTTTTAATGTGAAATTAGAACAGAAATAACAAAAAAATATGGCACATTGCAGAGTTTTGAGATTTACGATCAACCATTGCATTGTTAGCAAAATGTTCGGGAAAAGTTTAATCCATATTTTAGCGTGCAAATTATTATTATTACTTAGACAAGAGTAATAATAATAATTTACCATATTCTCGCATATGGTATTTTTGAATTGTAACAGAGATAAAAATTGGTTTCTACTATACTATTACGTATCCGACATAATAAATTTTCCCATATATCGTAGGTTTGGACCATAACATTGTACCTCCAGGTTTTCCCCTACCTGGAAGTATACCTGGATTCCCAGTCGCACCTCCTTCCAATGAAGTTATAATGCAAGTGCTGGAAGCATTAGATGAACATACAATACGATTAGTGTTTACTGTACCTCAGGTCTTAGTGGGACTACATGGAAGAGTCGAGCTACGATATACCAGTGATAAAACGTACGTATTGAAATACTGTATTAAATTATATAGAAAGATATTTCGAATTATATGAACTAATTTCTTGTAAACGAAGATGTATATATATAAGTATGGAGACCTATCGTAAAAGACGGAACTTCTCAAGCTCTATTTTTATTTATGACATCAAATACGAGAGAGATATATTTATCTTCTATATCTCTGAATATCTTATAAGAATGATAGAATTTCTCGTCTTATAGAAATTTCGATCCATCCACGTGGAAAGCACAAGTGTTTGCGCCTCCTAATGACTTAATCGCAACACCCCAGCTTGAGTTCGAATTAGGAGATCTAAAACCAATGACTGAATACAAAGTAAAGATTACGGTGAAACTGAAGGACTTAGCCAATAACCCAACCAGCAAAATTTACAACGTGCGTACGTTAGAAAAACATGTCGAGGTAACAACTCTGCCACCGCAAATACCAATTGACGCTGAACTTAGAATAGCGGAGACGAATTCAACCTGGGTTAACGTTATGTGGAAAAAATTCACGGAATACGAATTGCAATTCATAGACGGTGTTCAGCTGAGATACAAAGAATTTGATAGTAAAGTTTACGCAGCGACACCATTGATCCATCGTGCAGTAACAAATTACATAATTGAAAACCTGAAACCATCAACTATGTATGAAGTTGGTATTTATTTTATACCGTTCCCAGGACAATTAACGGAGTTAATAAGCGAAAAAACGGTAAAGTATTTTAACAATTATTGAAATGATCTGATATTGGTGATTTTATTATTTACTTTTATAAAATCCTTTCGTTCATTATATATCAGAGAATAATTCTTTTTCAGTTCATTCCGAACAAATTATACTTTAATTAAGAAAGATTAGTTCTTTTTTTAATTCATAGCAATCATCTGTATCATTTGAATACGATATGATATTATTTATAATAATTATGAATATAAAAATTCGAAGATAAATATAGTTAACGGTTACATAATAATAAAAATAAAATAGTGAGGCTCTTTATAAATTAAATTATTTTGCAAAATAAAAGGGCTCAGAGCCAGTTAAGTAGAAGAAACATTTCAATCGCAAATAAAAATAATAGTTATTTACATATATATAAATAATATTTCTTACAAACTTAAATTACATAATATTTTTCTATATGGAATAAAGCGACATAACTAAGAGGAATATTAATGTTAAATTATTATCTATTGTAGTTTCAGGTAACTACGTTTATGGAACCGGATCCCTATTCTTTCGATGTAAAAGTTGAAGTTAAAACTATTAAATCAACGGATGTAGAAGTGTCTTGGAGTGGTGTGCCTTATCCAGAGGATAAATACGTGAATATTTATCGTGCGATTTACCAGAGCGACACTGGCAAAGAAGACACCAGTACCTTTAAAATTGCAAAAAGAGACTCTCATGCTAAAACTGTAATCAGTGATCTAAAACCTGGGACTAGATACCGATTATGGCTTGAAATCTATTTAACGAATGGCAGAATAAAAAAGAGTAATGTGCAGGATTTCGTCACTAAGCCAGGTGTTCTCTTACCGGCTACCGTGGCTCAACAAGGTAATAATATTCATATTGGCTGTAGGCAGACATGATATATGGTATCTACCCTTTCTCTATCATATTCTCATTTCATTAACATTCTTATTTCTTAAAAAATGCTTATTGGCGTTAATATATGTATTATTGAATTGCTCGTCAATTTAATGTGATATTACTACTTAACTTTAGTTCTGTTCATAATTGCATTTCAAGAATAAAAAAAGCTTTCATCACATGATTTGCAGAACTGAAAATATATGTAAATTCTTATCGAAATATTTAAGCACTAAGATATGCTTTTTGATCAAAAATAGAATTTATAAAAATTCAATAAAAATTTAAAGAGGAAAATTGCACGATATTACATTTGTATAATGCCACTTAGAAACGTTCCTCTTCAATTTTGTATAAATAAAATACATATATTATATATCATTGCTTATTCATTGTTACAAAATGTGCAGTCTTCTTTTTCATCCTTGTTCTTTACGAGCATAATTTTAAAAATAACTTTTTATAAAGTTATAAATTATGCTTTTTATCTTAGCCGGAAAATTTGCAACGCTTCCTCTTCACGATGGAGATTATTATGGTCCACTAGTGGTGGTAGCCATCGTGGCCTCTTTAGCGATATTATCGACCTTGATTCTGTTAATGATGTTAATGAAAAGACGAACGAGTAGTAAGGCTGACATATCACCTCGTAAGACGACGTCAGCATACGACAATCCTTCCTATAAGGTAGAATTACAACAAGAAACTATGGGTAATTCATTCTTATCGTTATTGTATTTGTGAAGTAAAATAAACGCATCGCTATGGCTGATAAATTGATCTACATCTTAATTGCTAAGTACTATTTTTTTTTATTTTAGCTTATGTATTTTAAAATAATTAGCCATTGTTGCATTTATTTTACAATAATTGTTTTTAGTTATAATAGGAAAAAATATTTGCTAAATTTTTGTATTAAAACATACACTGCTCCAATCTTGACCTTAACATAATTTACTTTTTTTAACAATGTTTTCTTTTTTTAAACAATGTTTAATTTTTTTAACCTTTACTATTAATGTAAAGGTTTATTAAATATCCATATAACGTATATTTTTTTACCGAAATTTACGAGTTGATTAATACTAACATATATGTTGCTTCTTTTTAGACTTGTGAGGATGCAGTCACGATACCCGTTAGAAGAAATAAAATTACAGCAGATCACGAAATGGCTATCATCAATGTCAAAGAAACTGCATAAAATTCTATATATTATTTATTAAATTTATATTTATTTATACTAAAGTCATTAAAGAATGCATGTATTATATCGTTCATATGTATAATCATTTCAAGAGTGAATAGGACACTGAGACAATCCAGATGATTTTTGTTTACATTTGTACAGTTTACATTTATATTGTTAGACATTTATAAAATAAATAATTTTTAAAAACTACAATATGATGTAAAAAACTAACAAGATTTAATAACTATTTTTAAGTGGAATACTCTATACTAGTATAGCAGAGATACGCGCCTTGCTGGACGATCCTATTTATGATTAATTAATATATAAAATTATTGTAATTTATACCATTTATTTCTTATTAAATCTCATTACATCAGAAGTTACAGAAAAAAGTTTAATATTTTTATGCTTTTCATATAGAAATATACCTATAAATTTTCGATGAAAAAGTAATCTCAAGATCATTATATATTTATAAAATAACTTTATTTTTGTTATTCGTTGTCTTTGAATACAATGTATTTTTCCATACACCATTATGTGACAAATTGTATTTTAAAAAGATTATATAATAAAGGGGAAACATAATCCTCTATAATTTGTTAATATTATTTAACTATATGCATATGTAATTTTATATTTTTATACTAAATAAAAAAATATTGAGAATATGCAGATAGAATACGAAAAGAAAGGACGCAAGTATTGTACAAACTTAAAACTGCTTTTTCAAACTTTCTTCCATACTTAATGGTTCAGTAGTTGGAGCGAATCTTTCCACTACTTTACCTTCTTTGTCTACAATAAATTTAGTAAAATTCCACTTAATTGCGTTGATAAGCAATCCTTCTTTCTGTGTCTTTAACCATTTCCACAACGGATGAGCATTCTCTCCGTTTACATCAATTTTCTCAAACATGTCAAAAGTAACATTGTACTGTTTCACAAAGTTTAGTATTTCCTCAGAAGTACCCGGCTCTTGACCAGCAAATTGATTAGAAGGAAACGCAAGAATTCGCAAACCTTCTTTTTCGCTATATTTATTGTATAGCTGCTGGAGTTGCTTATAATTGCTCTCCGTTAAGCCACAATTACTGGCTACATTAACAATAATGAGAACATGGCCACGATATTTCTCCAGTGGGACGTTATTGCCCAAAATGTCGTTTGCATGGAAATCATAAACCGAAGTAGCTGACTGCCAATCAGTGTCTTGATTAAATTCTGATGGTGTTGGACATTGTGTAGTATCTTTATTCTTGCAATCTTGAGCAATGATTTCTGAGATGGCAAAAAGCAAGAATATCGAAGCAATGCCTATAAATAATACAATATATTAATATTTTATAATATAGTTTTTTTTTTAAATTAATTTAAATAGTTTACTTTATTTATTCTTTTTCTTTTTCATATATTTCTCTCTTTAAAAAAGTATATTAAACTGCATCAAACACCATAACATGATAAGTAATGATAGAATGATCATATTTTTATGACAGTAAGAAAAAATTATAAAATAATTTCTTTTATACTGGTATATGTTCCTTACAAAAATGTAATAAAATAAATAATTTTTGTATTTATTAATGCTTTTATATTAAAAAGTTTAATTTACTGATTTTACATTTATGTATTTATTATATGTGCACAAAGCAGATATAATATAGCTAAGAAAAACAAGTTTAAAGACAAACAATGTCTTTTTCGAGATTAAACTAAGTTTTTATTCTTTATAATTATATATATATATATTTAAGATTATTAATTATGTATTATCTGTAATTATAATATTTCATAAAAAAGAAAAAGCATTCCATTCTGTGTGAATAATTTTTAGAAACTTAAAGATGTACCATTAAAGATATTTTTAATTATACAAAAAAATTTAATTTAGATGCTAATAGAAATATGAATTAAGTTAATTAAAAAGGACATTTGGTAAGTTTTAGTAAAATTGAGTTTAAAAACATTTTACAGATTTAATATTATTTTATATTATCTACTAAATTTTTGTAATTTTTGTATAGAAATATGTTTTGTCACATTATTAATTAGATTTTTAATAGATATATGTTGTACTTTTTTTTACTATTTTCATTAAAATGAAATAAAGAATTTATTTTATATACTTAAAATTTTTTTTATTCTACGAAATACATCAAAAACAAGAAACAAAAAAGAGAAGGAAATAAAATAATAATATGTATCAATGTTCTATTACAGGGATAATTTTTTTTAATTATAAATTTTATGTCTTTCAAACTTTCATTTTATACAAACAATAGAAAAAATATAATAAAACTTGCCATAATAAAATACATACATGTAAAAAAATTGTTTAGTATAAATGTTATAAAAAGTATAACAAAATTTTTCAAAAAAATCTTTTTAAGAACAATTTTTTGTTTATAGTGCTAAAAATATGAATTCTAATTAAGAGTCAATCAAACTTTCTAACTTTATGTACAAAAGAATCTAGATATGTAATCGTACTTTATATGTTTAAATATTTACATGATAATGACTCGATAAGGGTAAAAATATTTGTAATTTACATTTTGTTTATATTAAATAGCATCTCACATCCTAGCCTAGATTCATAGTCTATTTCATTTCTAAATTATTATTATTATTACAATTTTTTTATTTATATACAATGTAAAAAAACAATTATCAGCTATTATTTATCATACAAAAAATGGAAATATTTGCCTAAAATATATTTAAACAATTTACACGTAATCAAGCTACAAATAAATTAAAGATTATTATTAGTTTCTAAATGAAAAGACTAATTTTCTTTAAGGATGTATACTCACGTAATAGCATTTTGATGAAAATAGCAATTCCGAAATCGGTGACTGAAAAAAAACTTAATTACACTTTACTGTCGTAGTAAAAAAGTATTATTATTTTATCAGAATAATGATAATTCAGTACAATTACAATCGAATTATTGCGACACGCGGAGTAACTGCAGGATGTAACTTTATTGGATTACCAAATCGCCTGCGTCGTTCGAAGACGAATATATATATATAGCTTACAGACTCTTTGTCATTCCCTATTTTTATTACCTGAAGCCTTGAAAACACACTGACCTTTGTCCTTGAAATTCCTTGAAACACGTATCACACCAATCACTGGAAATCCCGACCCATTAGTTCTATACACGGTGTCCTATATCTATTTGATGTATCTAAGCTGGAAACACAATGGGCGATTTCAAGACAGCGAAGCGGCTAGGAACGTTTACCGAGCGATTGAACATAATTGGTTATTACTTATAGATCCAACCAATCATATTCGATCGTTTGGCAACCTAGCCGCTTTGCCGTCTTGATCTCGCCCATTGATGGCCGATTGTTCCATATTTTGGTAAAGTATAATGCTGGATTCACACTGGACGCAGCAAGCGTCAAACAACGAAGCAGCAACCAACCAGCATGGCGATATTTACAGTGGCGTAAAAAATATCGATAAAGGCTACGGTCCATTTGATGCTACGAACGCTTCGAAGCATTTTCTGATTGGTTAGTTAGTAAAATTATTTCTTCTGATTGGGCAATCGAAAGTTTCGAACATTTGTTGCGTCAAGTGGCAGCTTCCAAAATATTGTTAGCTATATATAAAAAAAACAAGCTCTCCTATTGCTGGATTCATCCTGCATCCGATATGTGTCGTACGACGACTTTCCAACCAATCAGAAAAATCGTATTATTGATGCGAAGAAAAATCCTGTTTTTTGATTGGTTGCAGAATCATCGTACGACGAAAATCGAATGCAGGATGAATCCTACTGCCTACATATTGGATATCGTACCGTTGTATGTTACAACGTCAAATGTCGTACGCAGTGTGAATCATAACATAATATTCTGCGCCAAATAAATATTCATTAGAATAAAACGAAAATCAAAATATAAGAGCCTTTTTTCTGTAACCTGAAATAAATTGCTGAAAACGTTAAAATAAAATTAATTCGATAAATTTTAATTATTTTAGTGATTTATTTCCATCAGAAGCATCGCGCAAAAAAGTGGATATTGTTACGTAGTTGCGTGCACTTTTTTAGAGGGCGGTAGTGTGCGCGAGACGTTTTCCGGTTACAGTAAATAGGTCCTCTGTCTTGTCTTAGGTTTTTCTCTGATACAACGGGTTTGCTAGTATCAGAGAGAAGCCTACTAGTGTTCGGTGAAATAAAATAAAAAGAGAATAAACTGCTTCCAAGTACAAACACGAATGTCCGAACATTCGTGTTTTGCGTTTGTTTTCCAGGTGTATACGCAGCTTGATGTATTATATTATATTCGGCAGTTTGTCTCGCGCGCTTTGACCTGAGAATTGAGAAATTCCCTATCGCGCCTCTCCACCTGTCGCTCCATCTGCAGTTTCTAAATTTCTTTCAACACCGTGCATCGTACCGCTACATGCGTGTTGTTCCAGCGTGAACCTGCGTGAACTTTACGCGCGAGGATCAACGGTGTTGCCGAAGGCTGCGGCGAGAGAACAGTTTCCTGCGAAAATGTGGTAAGCTGATTTTCCGTCTGGACGAGCTCGATCGGCGACGATCAGCTGATCGACCGGCATCCGCTTGTTTACAAACACCGCGGCGTACCTAACCTCCAATCCCAACGCGTAACCTGTCAATTTTAACATGCGGAGCCCCAGGGCCGCCTGTCGATTTTCGATGCTGGGATCGAAATTGCGCGAAAATTCGTAAATTGTAATTGTTGCGGGTGACGTTTTTTCGGCGAACATCTGTTAAGAAATCGTAATTTGGTAGACAAGCAATCGTCCATTCTCGACACGTTCTTTTTCCTCGTTGTAGATGTACTCCATGGGCAATGGCACGATGGTCGACGGTGCTATCCGGGGTGTTCTTGGCTCTTTCCATGGTCCTCTCCCTGGGAAAGCTGTTGATGCTCGCCGCAGGGACCGGAAACAATGGAGAACTCACGGAAGCAGATCAGTGGCTTATTGAAATCGGCCTTCCGCAATACCGCTCAGTATTTAGACAGAAGGGTGAGTACTAGCTTTATTATCACAAATTGTCAAGCGATTCGCGGAATGACACCGCAGTATTACACTAAACTAAAACTGTACGTAAATATAACAAAATATTCATTGAATTAATGAAAATTAGTTCAATGAATTGTCATAATGATTTAGACTATAAAACTATTACTAGAATTCATTGTAAAAATAAATATGTAATTGTATTAATAAATTAATTGGTCATTAAGTTGAATATTGATTAACGATCATTCTTGGACTAAAATTGTTTTCAGTATGCGGCTGTGTTCTAATAGTAATTCTACAATGTGCTCTTTGTTTCCTATTTCTTGCTGTTTGTCTCTTGCCTACTCTTGCCTTTTTTGATCAAAAGATAACAGACAAACAACAAGAAACAGGAAATAAAGAGCACATTGTAGAATTACTACAAAATTTACTGCCAGTATTCAATCTATAATGCATGTAATGTATTTATAGACCTTATTACTGACAGTAAATTTTAACACAGTCTAAGAGTTACAGTTATAGTCTCAATTAAATTGTTAGGATACATTGTTAAAAAAGATTTTGGATAATCTTTAATTCATAAAAAGACGATTCATCAATTAAATTAAGGCCAGTATTCATAGTCGAGTCTTATAGGTATTTATGTTTGTCTTACGTACAGTCTTAAGATGTTATGAGCCAATCAGAAGGCTGTATCAACATCTTAAGACATTTAACACGATCTTAAAATAAAAACAGATTAATAAATACCTATAATAAGAAGCAATTTATAAATTATTTAAATATTAGATTGTTGAGAAAATTTTAACCGATTTCCAATAGATGGCATTTTTACACAAATGCAAATCGTTGGTTTTTAACAGTTTCATTTAATTTTCAAGAAAGGAAATAAAATTTATTTATGATAATTTTAATTGCTCACTTTTTCAAAATCAAAAAGGGAAAAATACTACATGCAAGCATGAAAAGAGTATGAGTGATTCTCAACAAATTGGAATTTTTGCGTCCCGTACGTTTTAAATATATTTAAATATGTATTTTAGGTTAAATTATATTCGATTTTTATCGCAAAAAAATATTACAACTGTATTTATATAGGCAATCAATGAAGAATTGATAAATTAAATTTGATTTTTGTTGATAATTTAATTTATTTGCAGTATTACTAGATATTAAAAGAAGATAAAATGATACATCATGTGCATTATATGTAAAACAAAACACACACTTAGGATACATTCTGAAACGTCCTTTCTGAGGAAAATTTTATTCAAACTATATAGTACATGTAACATATACTATAGTATATAGAGTAAATCTGCCTCGGAGGACGTTTTGGAAAGTAACCTTAAGGTGAAAGTAGAACTATAGATCAAAATAAAATAAACAAAAGAAAGTATAATGGACGTACAATTAGAAGACAATGGATTTTCGGTGAAATTGAACGCAGTACTACTCGGAAAATATTTATTTTATCAAAAAGACCGACTGAAACGTTTTTACTAATTATTCGAAAGTATTTCACAACTGATTCTATTATCTATATTGATAAATGTTGCGCACGTAGTGATGGTTTGCAAAATAAAGTTATATGTATACATTTAAAAGTAAACCGTGCAACAAATCTTGTTGACTCTAAAAGTATTTTATATGCAAAAAGATTATTCATGTGCAGAATATAGAGAGATTGTGGAGTAATATGTAATCACATATTCCTCGCTATGGCATACGAGATTTTACCATTTTGTATATTATCTCGCAAAATTTCTATTTAGAAAAGTTTATAATTACAAATGAATGGATGATCATTTTTTTTCAACATTATGACTTCCATGCATTCATTCGATCGTTTGAATATTAATTAAAGTTACACGTTTTATATATGTATTGACTATTTTCTTCATTATAATTTCCTATACATTCAAATTATGGAGGTAATTTTCGCAACATTTTTTAAATTATAATTTTTTAATGGCAAACGAACGATCATTAAAACCTTTTCAGAGTCATTTAGAGTCATGACCTTAACAATAAGATCACAAGACAAAATCAAGGTCATCGGGAATTGCTTCCCTTTTTTTATTTTTACTAAAAATTTAATTAGACAAAGATAATTTAATGAAATATAGTTATTTATTAACGTTTCTTCACACACACACAATCCAACACAAATTTCTCAGGTAATATTATTGAAGTGGTGTTTTCAAACCACTGCGTCTCTAAAGGGGAATGAATTTCAAATGCGAGGTTTTGGTGACCCTGACCGCAACCACCAACTGTTTTTGTGGCGGAAGAAATGTAGAGCACACCAAAAGTTCTCTGGTCAGCGAATGCGGAATAGTAGAGGAACCTTGAAAATGAATAATAAATGTACTCACATTCGAATCCATCGATCAGTGTGGGAGTGAATGTTGTTAGACACGTACTGCTATTCATTTCGATCGCTCTTAACGATCGATTCTTTGTCGACCGTGTAAAAGTTTGCAAGTTCCTTGCGCGCGCTTGTTGAAGCGAATAACTTGGTTCGCTGCCGCACTTGACGGTGGAGAATATTAATCGAATCGCAAGAAATTAGAAAAAGTCGAATTTGAGGAAAATCGAGAACATTAATTGCCGAAATGTTTTAATTACTATACTATAATATACAATTAAAAAGTTAAAATTATTATAGTTAGCGTTATTAGGCTATTGAATAGAAAAAGATAAAAGATTAGTTAAACTGTAACTAAAATTAATTTACATTAATCAAAATAAATTTGTTACGAAATATTAATTTTATTAGCTTTAGCTAGGCATTATATTATGTTAAATCGTAAAAATTATATTTATACAACCTACCATACATCGCCATATAATCCTACTGTTTTACGTCATAAAATTTATCTCGAGTAACAATTTAATATTTGATGTTTGTATATTTAAACATTTTTCTTTCTTTACAAAGCATTACAAAAATTTTAAGAAAAATATCAAATCTAATTCAGTTTCCAAAATATTGGATTCTGTTGATTATATACGTATAAAGTCTGTTGTACAAATGCAGTT